AAGTACGAAGGCCAAGAGCTGAAAAGTAAGTTTGCACACCACCAATAGGTAACCCTTCCACTAACCGGTACCTACTTGGACTTTCGGTGCTCGACCGCTTTAAGCGTGGAGACGACGCATCCCCAAGTAGTCAAGGCACTAGAGTTAGCGACCACGTTCTTAGGCGAAGTTCCTGGGTCGACGACTTGAGCAGTGCTCAAGACACCCAAGGGCCCTGAGAACGATCTAACCTTACGTGACTTGGTAGGATAGGTAGTTACCTAACATTAACCTTCCATGGTTGCAATAAAAATTTGTATTAGTCCAACCTAACGTATTTAAGCAGAGATATTAAGGAGGGAAAATTTAAATTATCATTTATGTAAAATTCTCTTTTAAAAAGGCGGATAAATTTTAAGTAAATTATCGAGTATATTATATATTTCCTTTTTTCATTATTAACGTAACGAATCGCGATTACTCAAATATAATTAATACATGTAGAAATTGAAGATACNGTTTATTTAAACTAAGAATATTATCTGTACTCCAAAAAGGGACAGGAATACATTAAAAAAGATATTAGATTAGAAAAATATTGAATAAGTTAAAAAAAATATTAAATTATTAAATTGATTAAATTAAGGGAATATTCAGGAGAATTCAATAAAGTAATAATCAATAAACAATTGCTGTATATGGTGCAGGAATTAATTGATTATTCAACAGATAAATTTTGAAACTTAATAATTATTTTAAATATTGTATATAATCGGCAATCTGAGCAATTTCGCTCTTTTACACAGGGCAACGAACCCGCCCTCCGATATATAAACACTAACATTGTTTGTGTGTCGGTTCCTAATCTTAGAGTTTCCTCGGTACAGATAATATTTTTAGCCGATTGTTACCACCACTAATTAACCGGGGTTATACTCAAAGAAAGGGAAGTCGTAATATGTAATTATTATTTTTAATATCCTTTGTTACTTAACCGTACTATTTAACCACCATACTTATATTTTTATCCATTGAAATATTTCTGTTGCAATGTACAATACTGACCATTAATGTTATGAGAAACAATGTATTAACTGCATTAATTCTATAGATATCTTATCTCTCAGCACAAATAGTAAAGCTGTACCGACAATTGTAGAAAGGATATTCAAACAACATTGAGTAACTAATTTATTTGTTTGTTATTATTTACAGAAAATAAAAGCCCAGATTCTTGAAGAGTACGCAAAAACAAAGAATATTAATGCCAGATTTTATTACCTGCATGGGAAATTGGGATACATAAAAAAACTTGTATCAGATTATGATGCTTATACAAACAGGAATTCATCAAATCCTACAGAAAATAAAGAACTGAGCAGCCTGGATATAGCAAATAATACTTTTGATTACAATATTGAAGAATCCAATGGATCTTGACAGACCTTAAAGTTGGTCCACCACTACCTTGTCGTTTTTTAGCATAATATTTTATGAATGAGCAGTTTAAAATTATCTGAGAATGATAATGCATTTTCCACAGTATGATGTTAGAAAAACTTACAATTCTAAAATGATTATAACATAAAAAGCTATACAGTTTTTGCTATGTACCTTGAACTTGTATGCAGATAAGTACCTTGTAAGTTTTTCTGAAAATAAACGACCTTATTTAAATTTATTTAAATGACTATAAATTAGCCATGGTTAATCAACTAGTTACTTTTTTTGGACTTATTCCAAGCTTCATAAAATTAAGTCCAAGATTCCTTACGAAAAAATGGCATGCTTAACTTAATAAATTAGAGCAGTACCTTTCTAGACAAAAAATCTAAAAGACTATACAAATCTGGCCACTGTTAAATCAAGTCAGTCATTTACTAGCACCGTTGCCTCGTCTTTCTTCTTTCGTTTTTGCCAGTCTGATACTGTTTTTTAACAAAAGCAATTTGACCAATTGTTTTATTCTCTACTTTAAAATTTTTTTTCAATTCAATAGCAGTACTTACAGAATTTATTTCCAGGCGACCGTCTGAATAATGCATCTGCGTTTCTATGAATTTTTCCTCTCTTGCATAAAATCTTGAACTTGTACGGACCTACTAATCTAACCTTTTTAACTAGCTGGCCAACCAAGTCTTTAAATTAATAACAACTAAGACAAGGCAAATTAATCAGTTTTAGTTCGAATTCTTCTTTATATAAGTAACAACGAAAATATTTTACTGACTCAGAAAACGCTAATAACCACCTACGAGTAACAAAATAACCCTTATCTGAAGGACTTTACTCTTGACTATAATAAGCTATAACCCTCTCCTTACCTTTGTGATTCAGAGACAAAACTGAACCAATGCCATGAACTGATGCGTCAGTACCTAAGATACACAATATAACCTAAGAAAAGCCAAAATGATTGATAACAACTTTATAGTTGTTATTTACAACAAATTACTATTTAACAAAAGATATACCACATAAACGTAAGTTATTTTGCATAAATTAACAGTATTAAGTACTTTCATTATTACATACATAAAAGAGGGATGAAGCATATTGAAAAATTTGAGTGATAACGAATCATAAGGATAACCTTTAAATTTATAGTGAAATATTGCAGTTCACTGAAGAATGATAGCTAAGTCCTATAGAGGCAGCATGGTGTTTGCAAGAACTTATGATTTGCACTAGAAGTCATAATGTGATTTATTCAGCAGTTAATTCTAAAAATTAGCACGAAAAAACGTTTTAAGAAAATAATATCAGTAATGTTTTACAAAATTATGAAACTACAATCACGTATCTTCATTAATTAAATAAACTAAGAAGTTTGCTAATACAACAAAACATGTAAACATTCCATGATATAACATGTTTGATGTTGAAAAAAATAATGGACTTGACGGAAAAAATTGGAAGATGACAGATCTAAGTATGGGAAAATTGAATGCTGTATTACCTAAAAATCAAAAATTCTTTTTCGGAAAATTAATCTCAAATAAAGTAACAGGACCAAATTTCTTTAAAAACTTAATATATTATGACAAAGATCATGATACTTATAAACAAGCAGCTATGAAACAGAAGTTAATTAAGCATGATTCACAAATTTTACTAATATTTAAAGAAACTTCTAACACTATATTACATTTGCAACTACAAAATTTTTTTATTCAAGATAATATTGTTTGTAATTAATTAAAAAATATTTCAAAAACATTTTATTAAAAATAAAGAAAAAAAAACCATTAATTATTTTTAATGTTATATGTAGAAACAACA